TTTTTCGAGACAGGGTTTCTCTGTGTAGCTTTGCGCCTTTCCTGGAGCTCACTTGGTAGCCCAGGCTGGCCTCGAACTCACAGAGATCCGCCTGACTCTGCCTCCCAAGTGCTGGGATTAAAGGCGTGCGCCACCAACGCCCGGCGAGTCCAGTGTTCTTAACCTCTGAGCCCTCTCTCCAGTTTTAGACATTTTATTTTTGAAGAGTTTGTTCTATCAGAACCTATTTCTAATTTTCTCTTCTGAAGGCCTTGTACAAATGAAAACCATTTTATGTAGAACAGTATGTGGATTTGCTTGTGGTCTTTTTGATCGTCCTGAGGAAAGAGAACAGAATTATTGATTTTAATAGTTTGCATTGTAGCATTTTTAAAATCATGGCTCAGATCTGTTGCTTGCATTAGCCAGTTTCCAATTTCCTTTGCTCAGTTTTACATGAAGATGGAAATTCAAGTAACTTTTGATACAGGTTTCCAGGTTTGTTGTGAGTTTTTGATTTCTCTGTTTCTTTCTATAGCATTCCTTCAGCAGCACTTGATTTATTGGACCACATGCTGACACTTGATCCTAGCAAGCGTTGCACAGCTGAACAGACCCTGCAGAGTGACTTCCTTAAAGATGTGGAACTCAGCAAAATGGCACCTCCAGAGTAAGTATTGGTGACTGTACAATGATTTTAAACTTCCTCCTAGACTCAGAAAATGAGAAACTAAAAAAAAAAATCACTATGAATGATTATGTCAGTCCTGATGGAGTGTTAACTGTGAATAAGATCACATATATTAAATAAGGAATAGATTTAACAACCATATTTGTTCTAATCTGATTCAAGCTATTTTCTTTCTGTTTCTAGATCTCTAGTGTATATTGTGATAAACAATGTCTTTGAAAATATTCCTTGTAGTTTTTGCTCTTAACCATTCCTTCTGGTTTAATCATTTATGTTGTGACTATGTATTTCTCATACTGCAAGAACAGTTCTAATTTTAAATAGTTTGCATCATTGTCAGGTGGGTAACTCTATTTATTTATTTATTTATTTATTTATTTATTTATTTATTTATTTATTTATTTATTTATTTATTTATACCAGGTTGTTCTTGAACTCAGAGATCTGCCTGCCTTTTCTTCATGAATTTTTATGTAAACATGTAGTTTTGTTGTATCTCTTTCATCATTTTTTTTTTTTACTTTTCTTATGTGTGTGTGTGAGAGAGAGAGAGAGAGAGAGAACGAGCGTGAGCGAGCATGCACACACATACACATAAGCTACAGCACTTGTGTAGAGGTCAGAGGTCAACTTGGGAGTCAGTGCTCTGGCTCTACCTTTATAGATCTAATAAATTCAGGTGGTAAGACTTCTGCTTCTAGTGCCTTTATTACCTTAGCCATCTCCTGGGTCCTCTTTCATCACAATTTTTTGAATAGAATGTACATGAGAGGATCTTCAGAAACTTTATGGCATATACAAGATCCTTTATCTTTGAACTTATCACTAGCAGTATTAATAGCTTTTGTGCTAGATTTATTGTTTATGGTTATTTATGTCAGTACTATGGTCCTTGCATGTGTTAGTCAAATAAATATTTTACCACTGAGCTGTATTCCCAAGCCTCTTTTGTTTTTGCTAGTTTTTCTTGTATATTTGTTTGTTTGATTGATTTTACTTCCTTTTTTTTTTTTATTTTTTTATTTTTTCAGACAGGGTTTCTCTGTGTAGTTTTGGAGCCTATCCTGGAACTCACTCGGTAGACCAGTCTGGCCTCAAAGTCACAGAGATCTGCCTGACTCTGCCTCCCAAGTGCTGGGATTAAAGGAGTATGCCACCACTGCCCAGCAATTTTACTAAATTTTTATGTGTTTATATGAGTGGGTGCCCGTAGGGGTCAGGAGATGGTGTCAGATTCCCTAGAACTTTCAACCTCCAGACATGAGTGCTGGGAACTGCACTCAAGTTTTGTGTAAGAACAGCACAAGTTCTTAACTACTGAACAATTTCTCCAGCCCTTTAGGGTGTTTGTTTTGGGAATTTTGTTTTGTTTTGTTTGAGGTAAACATTTGTAATCCCAGCACTTGGGGAGGCTGTTCAGTGGAATCAAGAGTTTCAGGTTAGCCTGGGATAATATGTCTTCGGAAAAACAAAACAGAAAAGGGGATTTGGATAAGTACACAAATAGATTGGTAACCATAAAATGTTATTGCTCCAAAGTTCTGTCCAAATTCATTATTATCATAGAGTTTTATGTATAAGCTTTTACTGAAATTTGGAAACTATACATAATTTTGTTCATTTGTTTGTGTTTTGAGACACATTGTAACCCTGGGTGATCTGGAACTTACTAAGTATACCAGGCTGGTCTGAAACTAACAGGATCCCAACTTCCTCTGCCTCTTAGTTGCTGGTATTAAAGACATGCCCAGCAAAACTCCATTAATGAAAATGTTGATGATATCTAATCATGGAAATTCAATGGATGATATGTACACTGGTGATTTAATCATGATGTGTTTATATAGTTCCAAGATTTGTAGCACCATTGCTTGTCTTTTTGCATTGTGTGTGTCTTCATACTCTTGCCACACTACATGTGAAAGGTCAAGGCAAGTTGTCGGAGTGGTTCTCTTTTTCTATCATGTGGATTCCAAAATTGAACTCAGGTTGTTATGCTTGGTGGCAAGGTTCTTTATCTTCTGAGACATCTCCCAACCCCTTTCCTAGGCTTTCATAACTATTAGTAAGCTGTTCGTCTCTGTGCTTGTATTTATCCTCAGCTGAAACATGGCCAGTAAAGTTCTCTTTATTCATTTTATACCAACATAAAACAGTATTTGTCTATATAAGAGTTGGTTCTAGTATTAACAAGGTCCTTATTTCTTACTGCATAAATACTTGCATGAACTACCACCTGCCATGATTCTTTTTATAGTGCATTCTAACATTTTTGTTTCTTTATTTCTCATGTTCCTTCCTTTTTTTCTGTTTTAATTCATTATTCTTCCATTTACTCACTACTTACTCCTCCTTTGTATTTTTTCAGTCTACCTCACTGGCAGGATTGCCATGAATTGTGGAGTAAGAAACGTCGACGCCAGCGACAGAGTGGTATTGTAATAGAAGAGCCACCTCCATCCAAAGCTTCTCGAAAAGAAACTACTACCTCAGGGACAACAGCAGAGCCTGTGAAAAACAGTAGCCCAGCACCACCTCAGCCTGCTCCTGTCAAGGCAGAGCCTGGTCCTGGGGATGCAGTAGGTCAGTGCTGGGATGGAGCCTTTTACTTCTATTAAGTGCGCTTGTGTGTTCTTGAGGGTAGAATGTATATATGTTCATATCTCTGTGGAATATTAGGAGAGAGACTGTTGTCCTCATTTCTGAGAAGATAAAACCTTATTTTCTATACATGGTTCAGAAAGTTTACAGTACAGTATTTTCATTCCTTGAAATAAGGAATACTATATTTCTTTTAGATTTTGTGTGTGGCAGAATCCAATCAATTAAATAAGTAAAATTTAAGGGTGTTTGTTTGTGACTTTTTTTTTTATTTGTTCATTTTATTTACATACATGGGTATTTTGTTAGCATGCACATCTGTGCACTGTTTGTGCTTGATGCTAGCAGAGGCCAGAAGAGGATGTCAAATCTCCTGGGATTGGAGTTAGAGGTACTTGTGACCTGGCATATGGGTACTGGGAATCGAACCCAAGTTTTCTGGATAAGCAACCAATGATCTTAACTACTGAGCCAGCTCTCTAGCCCTTGCTTTGCTCATGGCTTTTTGACAGTAATTTAGAGTTAGTTATGTTAGATTTGAAAAGGCTTTGGAACCCAGTCTTGTCCAATCGCAATTGTGAAATGTAGTTGGTCTTGTAGACTATTACTGTTATACTAAAACTGTCAAAATAACCATTATGACAAATAATTTCTCCTATAATATCACAGCTTTTTTTAAACTGCCTATCTTTTTCATTTTCTCTTCTATATCAACCCAGTGGCTTTGAAATTAGGATCTTCCTGCCTCAGCCTTGAAAGTAGCTGAGACTACAATATTATTTTTAACATTTGGTACACATTAAAATCATCCAGTAAACTTTAAAGTAAAATAACCTCAGATCAATGTGGCGGCAAATAACTGCAACCCAGCACTGGGGGGTGGAGTCAGGAGGATCAGAAATTCAAGGTTATCTACCACTACACACCAACTTTGAGGCCAGCCCAGCATACAGGAGATAAATCATCCTTGAATAAATGCCAAATTTCTTGGCACATTAGGTACCCGAGTTCTTAAATCCATCCTAACAGTTTTTACATATGATATTGGTTGAAAATCACTGACCTAAAAGAATATAAATAAAATATAGTCACTTTTATATATAATGCAGACATGCTTTAGTTTATTTATTTTAATTTTTATTTTGTTGGAGATAGTGCATAATTTATGTGGGGTTCTGGGGACAACTGGTGAGTGTTGGTTCTCTCCACTGCATGGGTCCTGGGTTTTATACAGTTGACATGCTTGGTGGCCAGTGCCTTTTACCTGTTGTGCTATCTCACCAGTCCATGTCCTTGGAATTTTAAACAAATAAAAAATAAACTGTGGTGTACTAATCTAAGATATTAAATTATGAGCCATTCAAACTGAAACTACACCTTTGGATATTATAAATTGCTTTTTGTCAGTTGAAGAAGGCAAAGGGCCTTTCCTTTCCTTTCCTTGTCATCTTATATTGGCTGCACTCTCATCCCACAGGCCTTGGTGACATCACACAGCAGCTGAATCAAAGTGAACTGGCAGTGTTATTAAACCTGCTACAGAGCCAAACTGACCTGAGCATCCCTCAGATGGCACAGCTGCTTAATATCCACTCCAACCCAGAGATGCAACAGCAGCTGGAAGCCTTGAATCAATCTATTAGTGCACTGACTGAAGCCAGTTCTCAGCAGCAGGACTCAGAACCCATAGCTCCAGAGGAATCATTGAAGGAGGTACCCTCTGTCTCAGTGGTCGTGCCTTCAGCAGAACAGACAACTCCTGAAGCTTCAAACACGCCAGCTGACATGCAGAATATGTTGGCAGTTCTCTTGAGTCAGCTGATGAAAACCCAAGAGCCAGCAGGTAACCTGGAAGAAAACACCAGTGACAAGAATAGTGGGCCACAGGGGTCCCGAAGAACTCCTACAATGCCACAGGAGGAGGCAGCAGGTAAACAGACCAGTCATGAATCTCATTGAGCTCAGGTGCTGTTGATCCTCTTAAAAATCTCTTAATGTTTTCTTTTTTACATCATTGGTCTCAGTTTCAGTTTTCTGTGATCTAGTCTACAGGAGAACATAGCACCAAATGATGTATTTCTTGTCCAGCTTTTTCATTTAAGTCTCAAAGCACCTTTCATATACTGATAATTTTTCCACTTATGAAGGTACTGGTAAGTAAAGCCCCTGTGTTCTAATCAAGGAAATCAAAGCCATAGGTAGCGAGATATCTTGAACTACTACGTATGTGGTAGCTAGCTAGTCCTAGTAAATGTGACTTTTAAATAAACATCAAATTGTTCTTTACATCTAGTAGGAGTGGATCCTGGATACCAGAATCTTATCTGGAAGATACAGTCAAGAAAGCCCTAATAAAATATCATTTCAGTTCCTGAAAATAATTGGGGAATTGTCCTAAGCAGATAACACCTTACATTTTCTTTCCAAAAAGTAATTGTATACAAAAGTGATTATTTTTAAGTCTGTTTCTGAAAGAACAGTGGAATCAGGAAGTAAGCATTATGAAAAGAAACAACAAAATCTGAAGGGGAAAAAAAAAGTGTGTTACACCTTGTGTCACATGACCACAACCATGCAGTTTATTAGAAGGAAGAACACTGTAAATTCTCTAATCAATTCTCATTCACAATGTTTGCAAAATCTTACTATCTGAAAATGTTTTCAACTCCTTGGAAATTTTCATTGGCCTTGAAGATTCCGGGAAATAAGAAGAGGCACAGAGGCTGAAGAGGTATACTAACTTTGAACTTTAGGGTCCTGCATTTACATCTCTTCTGGGTTGGTAAAGAAAGTATATTTTTTATTTTCACTAGTATAAGGTCAAGTATATAACTTGGTTTTTTTTGTTTGTGAAAATTGTTAAAACTGAAAGACAATAAAATTAACCTTATGTTTTGTGAATAGGAAAACTGCAGCCTAAGAAATTTAAGTAAAGTCTATGCTCTGCCGAATATTGGCAGACAAAGCTAGAACTTGTACACACACACACATCTTGATTCACTTTGGTCTTCTCTATGATGATTCCCAATTGTTTTTAAAGACAGAGTAATGAAGAAGGCTATGTGATGGGACTGGAGAGGTGGTTCAGAGGTTAAGAGCACTGGCTGCTCTTGCAGAGGACCTAGGTTCAATTCCCAGCACCCATTCAGTGACTCACAGCTGCCTGTAACTCCTGTTCCAGAGGATCAGGTGCCCTCTTCTGACCTCCACAGGGACCAGGTACACAAACATACATGCAGACAAAACATTCATGCTATAAAAATAAATATTTAAATTTTAAAAAAGGCTATGTAAATTTAAAGTAGGCTTTTTAATCTCATGTCTCAAGATTCTGATCCTACCCTCAAAAAAAATTTAAAAATTTCAACTCAAAATCAAAGTATCTGAAAGAACTTGGTCAAATTAAATAACATCCTGATAGAAAAATGTTCACCAAATGACTGAGACAACAAGCTATCAATCACATAAAGGAGTTGAACTGAAAATAAGCCATAACATATAGCTAGATATGGGATATGCTTTTTAGAGAAGAGTGTAAAAATGCCACAACAAAAGATGAATGCAAATGTTGAGTGTGATGTCATGCATTTTTGACTCCAGCACTCAAGAGACAGAAACGGGTAGATTTCTGTAATTTCAAGACCAGCTTGATCATTCTAGGCCAGCCACCTGGTCCAAAAAAAAAAAAAAAAATCCACTATGCTACACAACTAATTATTATAGTCATTCCTGGATTGTCTAGTGTCTCTGCTGACCTCAAAACTTAGATCCTCCTGCCTCATGCCACCACATCCTGGTGCCTCTTACTTTGCCATTTCAGTGTTTATTAGCACTTCTACCAGAGGGCAGACTGTATAAACAAGAAAGGTAATGATATTCGTTTGGTAATTCACTTTTTCTGTACTTGTTAAGAAAGGGTAATGATTGAAGTTATTTTTACATTTATTTACCTCCCTCCATTAGTATGAAACATTGTAGACTGACAACATCAACACTTTAAATCTGAGGACAATACGATTTATATTTTTAGTTTTATTTCTTTAAGAAGCTTTATTAACTTCAGTAGTTCTTTAATGAAAAGTGCTATAACTGGAAGAAACTTAAACTGCAATTTTCACAGTCATGCCTTTTAAAGTTGGTTTGAGTTTTTTTTGTTGGCCCCCCACCCCACCCCCAACTTAAAAAACTTGGCATTTCACTTCCTGAATAGGCTCTAAATACCCTCCCCCCTTTTTAATGTCCTTATAAGGATAGATAAGTAGTGTTGACAGTAAAAGGCTCTGAAATACAGTACATGGTTATAGTTCAGTCACCCTATCCTTTCAGGTTATTCTCCAGATTGTAAATTTTCAGTAGCTGATTTTTTTCTACCTTAAATTCATTTTTCCCTGGTATTCAGATGATCAGCCAGTCAACAAGTAACTTGGAGTTACATATTACAAAGTGAACTTTTCCATTCAAAACTGAAAGGTGATAGATACCCTGCCTCCCCTTACCTGCCCAGCTTGTGTCCCCAAACCCAGAAACTCAAAACTCGGTACCCCATTTGTTACTTCATCTAGCACATGGCCTTATTTCCCACTGCAGAGTGTTAAAATTATATATTGTTTTTAGAGTGCTTTCATCTGCATACTTGGAGAGTGCAAACTTAATTTGCTTATTGTCATTACAAAGTATGCTCTAGATAATTATACTACAGAAATATCAAATTGTAACCAAAATCTGATTTTGGCTTATCTGAGTATTGACAACACATCACTAACTAACAAAATAGAAGAATGACCATTTAGATGTTTTTAAATGTTTCCATAGGAAAAAGAAAAATTGGTCCTTTGGAAGATAAAACCAAAACATTAAACCTTTTCTTTAGCAGGTTGACTTTCAGTCTTGAAGGCATTAATCTTACTATGCTTTTGTCTCAGTAGTTTTATATGGCCTTAAATTCATGTTATTTTATCTCTCATCTGTTGCTTTGGTAAGAATTCGTTGTCAGGCAAATTTAGATAGCAATGAAAAAGCAAAAATTTGGGGACATGGTTCACTTAAAGAGATCTTAGTAATAAAAAATTGAGTTTAGTATTAGTTCAGCATATTCCTGAATAGTCAGTTCTTAACACGGGATTGAACACATTTTATCAGCAGTCAGTTCTGCATAACACTGCTAGAATGACTTTTCTTTACCATAGCAGAAAATAACAAAACAAAATAGAAAATTGTAATAGGATTACTAACAGTGTAGTTGGTTAATATCCAACTTGAATATATGGTTATGGGGAGAAATGACTATAAAGTCTGGAGAAGCAAAATGAGTTTTTATACATGTTGAGTTTTTTCTTGATTGCATCTCTCCTGTATATTCTTTTAAGTTGTATTTCAGGTTAATCAGACATTATGTAAATGTGTTAGCCAGGTCTGCAAGTTGTACAGACTGAAAGATTATGTCCTAGAAATGTGATCACAGAATGTATATTGTTCCTTCTCATCTTCCTTCTTTCTGCTTTATTTTCAATAATGTTTTGATCTAACAGCAGAAGGGATGGAGAGGTTGCCAACAACCTGCATATTAGAGCAGTTCTTTAAGGAAGGAAATCGCAGACAAAAAAAATTCAGGACAGTCGTTCGAAACATAACATCTTTTTATACCAGCTGTAAGACCCAGAATGCAACTGTTTTACTTCTAATCACTTGATTATTTTTTTTTATAAATTTCAGTTTCCTGATTCCAAGATTTTCTTAATGTATCTGGTTGCTTGTATTGGTATTTATTTATGTTGGGTAGTATGTGTTTGTGTTTATAATCACATGTGATTTTAAGATGGTGTTTAAAAGAAGTAACCCTTCCACAGCATGTCCTCCTCACATTCTTCCACCAGAGAAGAGGCCCCCTGAGCCCCCTGGACCTCCACCGCCGCCACCTCCACCCCCTCTGGTTGAAGGCGATCTTTCCAGCGCCCCCCAGGAGTTGAATCCCGCCGTGACAGCCGCCTTGCTGCAACTTTTATCCCAGCCTGAAGCAGAGCCTCCTGGCCACCTGCCACATGAGCACCAGGCCTTGAGACCAATGGAGTACTCCACCCGATCCCATCCAAACAGGACTTACGGAAACACTGATGGGCCTGAAGCAGGGTTCAGTGCCACTGACACTGATGAACGCAGTTCTGGTCCGGCCTTGACAGAATCTTTGGTTCAGACCCTGGTGAAGAACAGGACCTTCTCAGGCTCTGTGAGCCACCTTGGGGAGTCCAACAGTTACCAGGGCACAGGGTCAGTGCAGTTCCCAGGGGACCAGGACCTTCGTTTTGCCAGGGTCCCCTTAGCATTACACTCAGTGGTTGGGCAACCATTCCTGAAATCTGATGGAAATAGCAACTCTGTGGTACATGCAGAGACCAAATTGCAAAACTATGGGGAGCTGGGACCAGGAGCCACTGGGGCCAACAGCTCAGGAACACCTCTTCAGTGGGGGGGCCCAGCTCAGTCTTCTGCTTATGGAAAACTCTACCGGGGGGCTGCAAGAGTCCCACCACGAGGGGGAAGAGGGAGAGGAGTTCCTTATTAACCCAGAGACATCAATGCCCTGAAAGATTCCTTCCCTATCCATCTTTTCATCTAGTCCTCTGAACCTTTAATGAAATCACTTGCCAGAGCAAGGTAATCATCTGCATTTGACTACTGCAACGCTGTCCGTTGTTTTCCTTGCTCACTTGCTACTAGCAGGCGACTCATAATGATGTTGGCACCAGTTCCTCCTGGATGGGCAATAGCTAGAATATTTACTTCTGCTTTATGTAGGAGCTATAGTAGAAAATATGGAGAAAAAGAGACATTCGGTTGAAAAGTAATTGTTGCATTAGCTTATTGCCTGCACTTGAGCAGAAGAGAGAGAACAGTTTTGTTTTTGATGGCTCTGGAAAGGCTTTGGTTTTTAAAGGTTTTTTTTTGTTTGTTTGTTTCATTGTGTGTGTGTGTGTGTGTGTGTGTGTGGTTTCTTTTGAATTTTTATTTAGTTCCCCACCCCTCTTTAAAGAGAAGCGTGTTCACAAGATCTGAGCTCCTCTTAGGCTTTTGCTAGAAGGGAAACAGTGGCTTTAATGTTTCCTTCCTCTCTTCCATCTCACAGTTTTGCTTCAGTGAGCACTGTCCTTACCCCTGTTGAGCATCTTGTACATACCTTTTCCAAATAAACTGCTCATCCTTAACTTTGCTCAATTTTGACAAAAGTTATGTCCCTCTTCCTGCACATAAAGCAGGCTGTAGAAAGTGGCATTCTTGGGCAAGTAGGTAGACTTTACCCAATCTTTGCTTTTTGCTTGTTACTTTTTCCTCCTCCTTCCTCTCTCTCCTTTTTGTCCCCTCCTTTTTCCTTCCTCTGTGTGCCTACCCCTGTTCTCTCCCTATATCTTTTTGAGGCATTTGTTTGAAAGAAAATAGAGTAGAGATGCCCAAGAACCTGGAAGAATACTTTTCTTTTTTCTTTTTTTTTTTTTCCCAAATAAAGGAAAGGAAATTAAAACTCCTACATTGTTCTCTGTAACTCTTCAATTCTAAAGTTTTTGGTTTTTGTTTTTGTTTTTTAAGCCACATTCTGATGGGGAGGTTGATGTGTAAATGATAGTACATTGCTGCTGAGCTGTGGTTAGAGATGGTACCTCCATATCTAGAGGGGTAATAAGATCAATAAGCATGTTTACATGTATATATTTATGTTTTTAAAAAAAGCCTTTCAAACAGAGCCTTGTGATACTGTCAGAGGAAAATCCTGAAAATACATGGACATGTAACCTAGCTTAGGGTGTATATCTGAAGATATATCAATCCTGATACCTTTAAAGAAAAATGTAAGCAGTTTACCATGAGAAAAGAACAGTATTGACAAATATACATCACAGCGTGTATAGCCTACCATTTCTTGTAGGGATCATTTTGATTGTGGTAAAGGGTATAAAGTATGATTTCCTGACAAGAACTTTGCCTTATCAAAACCAGAAATGGAAGAGAGAAAGGATCTCAGAGTGAGATAACTTGAGAGGCTTCTCATTTTGGCTTCCGTTTCTTCCATCAGCATCTGGAGTATTTTAAAAACATATATGTCATATGATCCGCACAGACTTAGGAGTTTATGAAATATAGGTTAAGCTCCCTTTTACAAAGAAAAGCAAACGTACTTCATCATCTTGGAGAATAGTTTTCAGAACTAAAGTGAAATTTCATGTTTCAATACCAAGTTCTTAAGTTAAAAAATATATTTAGAAAGGTATATTAATTTTTAAAAAATTTAAAGAGGTGAAGGAACCCTCTTCAGCTACATAAACATTAGTTTCCCCTGTTCCTGAAATAGATACCAGTATGTATACTTCTTTATTTTCTGAGTTTTGGTCTGGCTTTGCCATTAGGCCAAACACTAATAGTAAGTGAACCTTCTAGCCATTTGGCTTTGACAGCTTTTTTAATGCCAGGATGTCCGATTAGATATCCTAGGCACATTGAGATGCTATCCATAGATTGCATTAAAGTTTATTTGTACCTTCAGTCTGCTACTGGTTAGTCCTCAGACATGGGCCTTATTTTAGATATTTTATTGTAAGGTATTGGCCCCCAGTCCCCTATTTTTGATTAAAGAAACTGAGCAGGGATACTTTCATAAGTATCTGCTCAGTGAAAAAATTGTTTTCCCATCAAATATGAATAAATTTCTCTATATATTTTCATTGTATTTTGGTTATGGACAGTCATCAATAATGTTTCCCTTTCCCTCTGCCACACTATATTTTTAATTATGCCAAATAGTCTGAATAATTTACGTAAGCTTCCATTTCCCCATCCCTGCTAGGGAAGGGGGTGAGTGTATTTGAATGTATGTATATGTATGGATGATTCCATTTCACCCCCACCTCATTTTGGGAGTCTAGCCTTTTAAAAAATATTTTTATAATTTTGACTACTTCTGAAAGCAGAGGGAAAGAACTCATTTAAATATCCTGAAATCTGTGTGGAGGAAGAAAAGGTATTTGGTCATTTTTCAGCTACATTATCTATAAACATAATGGAAGTAAAAATTTGGCTTAATTTTCAACTCAACTGTTGGAAAAGTAGAAACCTAGTTAATTCCATTAAAAAGTGGTTTGGGTTTTAACTATTATATCATTATTAAATACATTATTTTGAACAGATGAGAAATCTGATTCTGTTCATGAATAGGAGACAAAATGGCTTGACCATTATCATTTTTGTATGCAGTTTTAAAAGATTTGCTTAACCCAGTGTCCTTAGCTTTTTCATCTGTCTATAGGGGTAAGGATTTACAGATGACATAAGATCTATGTACTCAAAACAGGGCAGTTAGCACAAAGTTTGTATGTAAGACTTCTGTTAGTTTATGCCATAATCATCATCCAGTGTGTGTGTGTGTATGTATGTGTGTGTGATATGCATATATAGGTACAGTGCTAAAGTGGTTACCAGCAGGTTTTGAGAGAGAATGGTGCATTGGAAAAGTGTCAGTTGCCACCTCATTCTCCCTGATTCATAGGTTCCTGACACTGTATTCCTTTCTCTCTCTTGTTTTTGACCCCCATTGGGTGTACTTTGTCTATGTACAGATATTTTGTAATATATTAAATTTTTTCTTTCAGTTTATAAAGATGGAAAGTGGAGATTGGAAAATTAAATATTTCCTGTTAATATACCACTTTTGCTCCATTGCATTTACTTCTGATTTCTGTACCCTTTGAGCATATCTAATCATGTTTGAAGGACATTTTTTTTTCCTTTATGTTGTGGGTTCTCAATTTCAGAAATGCTATAGACTCATAAACTACCAAAACAAAACAAAATTTCTCAGGGTTTGGAGAGGTACTTGAGAACACTAGAGCAGAAACTAGAGAATTAAAAATTGAGTTAGGGGAATCCATAAGAACATGATTTTTAAAAGAAAAACATAGAAAACAGATGGATGGTAGTATGAAGCCATCAAGAGTTGAGCTTCATGTACCCTGACTGACTCCTCCTGGCAGGAGAGGTAAGTGGGTTTGAGCTCAACATTCGTCAAAAGAAGCTGGTAAGAAGCTGTTTAGACCCAAAGGATACTCTGAAACCAGGATCCCCACCATTCCACCCAATCTGGTTTCCACAATGTTATAGAAGAGGGTCAACGTGGGGGTTAATATATCCAGCTTTCTTAGAGTTGTTTACAGGTTAAAGTCTGTACTCATAAAATCTTTCCCAACTCTACCAGAGGGGAAAATTGTTTTAGTTCTTCTTATGGTTTAGAACACTAAGGAGTCCTTGACAATATGTGCTGCAGTCTAGCTAGGAAAAAGGCAAATAAAATCCATCAGGAGAAAGGAAGAGGGAAAATGAACTTTGTATGTGGGATGAGCAAGTTGTAGAAGCATAAGAGGCACCCAGGACATGGAAAATGAAGGATTAAAATGTTGCTGAGAGTTGCTGACCTGGGCTAAGTTTCTCTTATGTTTGGTGTCCCTTGACTATAGGCAAAATCATATCCTTTTCACCCTGAAGGAGAATAGAGAGTTCAAGATGGTTCCAGTTTCAAGAATCTTGTTAGGGTCTCTACAGAGACAGTGAATTGGTTTTAGGTCATTATACATTGCATTTTTGTGACTAGATGTGAATTTCAAGGTATCAGAGTGTATTGTTTGCACTTTATAACAGGCTGTCATAATTCTGTGTTTAGAGACTGAGCACTTAACTAGCCTGAACTTTTTTCTTTTCATACACAAAGCCATTTCCATGTAGAAAGCCTTTTCAGTACCCAAATTTCTTTAGCACTCTTTTCCCAGATACACACCCTTACTTTTAAAAAAGGCTAATGCTTATAATAAGTTAACAATGAGTGTTCTTCATTGTAAACTGTTGTTTCTAGATTCCCTCCCCCGCACTCCATTGGATTTTATAAAATTAGTGAGTGACCTCTCCATTCACAGTTTAGTGATTCTGAAGGGCTAGGTGGGATGAGAAGGAGGAGTTCCTTAGTGAAGAAATAGCCAACCATTTCAAGGAGACAGGATTTGGAGTCTTTTAGTTGGCATAAGAGGTAAGGTGAGCATTACTGTCTGGCTAGGTTTTCTCATGTGTGCAAACACCTCCAAGTGTTTCTATAGCCGTTGAAACTCAAGATAAGTAGACGATTCCTCCAGCCCAGGTGGGAAGACCCCTGTGGGAATTTTTGGTGTTCTTTGTCTTATCCCTCCCCACTTTCCTTTTCTTGCTTCCTCCCCTCTTTCTCTTTTCTTTCCTACTCACTGTCCTACTAGGATGATTTCAGTTTAGCATAATTACTGATGACTAACCCTGCTGGGTATTTAGAGTTGTTACTGTTTCATAGTTTTCAAAAGAATTCTCCAGACAATTCAGAGAACAAATATCTGGATCTTTTAACTTGTGGAGTGGGAGATAAAGAGCAAAAAATAACCATACTTTCTCATTGCAGAGGTATGAAAGGAACTTCTGTGTTATGTTTCAGTATTCTTCCTTCCACTCTTTACCTCTTCATCTTTTACCTCATCCTAAAGATGTTACGTTTTTGCTGGTGACATTTCTAGGTTCAGTTGCAGATAATGTATATAGGGAATAAAGCTTGTTGAGAAGGCTATGATACAGAGTAGATGCTCTGGTGATTATCACTAGGCTGCCAAAATGTTTTGACCACTAGGTTGCTCTCCTATCTCTTATCTAAAATTAGTAATCCAGTACTGAGAAAGACTGAAATGGAGTTAGTCTTTCACAATCTTTAAATAGGTAATTATTGGTAAAGCTTTCTTAATATGCAGTCCTCAACTTCCTACTTCTCTGAAGTAAGGATATAGGCATAAAGTTCACTTAGATGTGTCCTTAGGACCTGGAAGTAAATGAAGTTTTTAAATATTTATTTTACTATTTTTCTGTGTGCTCATGCACAATATTGTGTGCACGTGCCCAAGAAGGCCAGAAGTGGGTATTCCTAGTTGATAGGATAAAGGAATAAAGAACAATGTGTACCAACTGAACCATCTCTGAGAGAGGCTGTTTGAAGTAGTGTTTTTAAAGGATACAGTGTAGCAGCCAGTGGGGAAATGAAGAACAAAGCCTGAGTCTTGGAGCTCTTTTTCTACCTAAGGGGCTGTCTCAGAACTAGGGTGTCTGTGGGGGAGACTACTGGTGAAGATCACTGTTAGACAACACTTGGCGCCAGGTAATGCTAGTTTGAATTTGTTCAGTTATGGATAAACAGGCTAAATGAAAAAGATTGAACACATGCTTAGGAGCTTGTGCCTCTAAATTTAATTCAGGAACTTCTAACTTGCTTCAGACCAGTATTTGCAACTTCTATTAGGACTCAAAGGCCTTATTTAAAAAAAAAAAAAAGTATAAAGAGATGGTAGAAATAGGGCAGGAAGGGAGAACTTCTGTCTTGGCAATGGTTTGTGAGGAGGGAAAAGTGTGACTGAGCTAGTAAAACTTAGGTGTTTGCTTTAGAGCTTCACTATTTTAGGGTGGTTAATAAAGGGTTTCTCTTGGTCACACTAGTACCTTTAGGCTTAGAGAGTGGGCCTAGAACCTCCAAACTATTAAGTAGCTTAAAGGCATTTCTTCAGGGTGTCTAAAGAACATCAGTAAAAGGCCGGGCGTTGGTGGCGCACGCCTTTAATCCCAGCACTCGGGAGGCAGAGCCAGGTGGATCTCTGTGAGTTCGAGGCCAGCCTGGGCTACCAAGTGAGCTCCAGGAAAGGCGCAAAGCTACACGGAGAAACCCTGTCTCGAAAAACCAAAAAAAAAAAAAAAAAAAAAAAAAAAAAAAAAAAAAAAAAGAACATCAGTAAAAATAAATACATAATTTTTTGGTTTTTTGTTTTTGAGACAGGGTCTTACCATATAACCCTGGCTGGCCTGACACTTAGTCAAGTCTGGCCTCAAATTCACAGAAATCCACCTACCTCTGCCTCTAGAATCCAAGGATTAAAGGCACATGACAGCATGCATGCCCTATAAACAAAAGTATTAAGCAAAGAAGTAATATGTGATATTTGCATAGCAATGCTGTCTGTATGGTTCAAAAGTAATTCAGGAATAAGGGGTAATGTGCTAGAAGTTAGAAATTATTTTTATTTTCTAAGTGTGTGTGTGTGTGTGTGTGTGTGTGTGTGTGTGTGTGTGTGTGTGTTTGAGACAGAGGGTCTCTATGTAGTCCTGCCTGTCTTGGTTGTAGACCTCACAGAGCTCAGCTTGCCTCTGCCTCCAGACAGCTGGAATTGAAGGCATGTGCCACCACACCTTGCTCAAGTTTTAAGATTGCAAATGGTTTTATATAGTTTATGTCAACCTTCAAATTGCTCATCTTCCCTTTGTTTTAGATGAGCCGTGCATAGAAGAGCAGAATATGTGAATTAAGAGTCTCGGAATGAATGAGCTGCAGAAGAACATTAGCCTGATTATTTCAGTGCTGTCTTTTGACAAATGAAGACAGAAAGACCCAGAAAGGCAGTGAAACCTATGATGTTGGGAGAAAGAAGTGAGAAAAAGGGAATTTACGTTAGATAACCTACTGTGTGTTAGGCACTATATGCTTTGTGGTGTGTGTGTGTGTGTGTGTGTGTGTGTGTGTGTGTGTGTACGTGTGTACGTGTGTACGTGTGTACGTGTGTACAGGAACTCACTACGTAGCCCTATCTGGCCTGGAACCCACTATGTTGACCAGGCTGGCCTTGAACTCTACCTCCCAAGTGCTGGATTAAAGGTGTGCACCATCACACAACTGCTTTTGATATCTTGTTTCTTGGGCAACTTGAAGCCAAAGGTTGGAAGGAATAAAAGGCAAATCTCTTTGAAGATCCTGAGCTATGTGTAAGAGAGAAACTGAAGAATCACTGCTCATTTGATTTTCTTTTTCTTTCTTTTTTTTTTTTTTGTTTTGTTTTGTTTTGTTTTGTTTTGTTTTGAGATAAGGTTTCTCTGTGTAGTTTCGGTGCCTATCCTAGATCTTGCTCTGTAGACCAGGCTGACCTCGAACTCACAGAGATCCACCTGCCTCTGCCTCCTAAGTGGCGACACCACCACCCCATTGCTCATTTGAAAGAAGCACATAACTTCACTATTCTAAAATGATTGTCAGAGGCACGGTCTTGTAGGGTGCAAGATTACTCTTGGTATTGGAATTGATTTTCATTCTAGAAATTCAGATTATCTTAGAATATAGGATTAATCTTAGCTATATTAGGGAATAGGGCTTGAACATGGTGGTTAACCCTATCTACAATCCCAGAATATGGAAGGCAGAGGCAGGAGGGTCAGAAATTTAAAGTCTCATCCTAAGCTACATAGCGAGTTCAAGCCCGGTCTGGGATATGTGAGATCCTTTTTTTGGGGGGGAGGGGAGGTTATGGTTTTTTTTTGTTTTTTGAGACAGAGTCTCACTATATAGCTCTGGCTGTCCTAGAACTCACTACATAGACTAGGATCTCACACAGGGATCTGCCTGCTTCACAGGTACTGGATTAAAGATGTCTGCCACAACACCCCAAGAAATCCTGTGTTTAAAAAAAAAAAAGTGTAATAAAATGAGTTGTCATTCTTAAGGTATCCTTAAGGAAAATGTTTAAATAGTATGAGTCAATGAGATAATTTCTTTTTAATGTGTATGTATTTTGCCTGCATGTATGTCTGCACCATGTGTGTTTCCTGGTGTGT